TGAAGACTCTATCCCTCTCTGTTGGTACCTTGACCTACTACATCCATAAGGATAGGTCAAGTTCATCAAATTGTAACAATTTACACTCGTTTCTTTCTTCAAAAATTGTTTATCTTCCTCTAGTCGAGTTCTGATTATCAAGCCATTGAGGCTCAGTCAAATGGGTACTATCTGCAAGTTTGGGTGTTCTTGTGCGTCTCCCCTCAACTTCATATCAGCTGGATGCTTCACTCTCAGCTCTAGCCCTCCGTGGCTATGTCCTTGTCCATGGGCTCAGGTGTCCCCACGTCTCACCACACTTTGGACCAACCAGCCCTTCCTCTTCTTCTCCAGGTCAATGGGAGTCTATAGAACATGGTTGAACTCAGCCCTTTTCTTCATTGTTGCCTTTCCCCCTTCTTCCACTCACCAATAGAACAACGTGGTCACCAGCAAGCTGACATGCCTGCTCATATGTTCCCTTTGATTTTCAGTCTTGGAGGGGAAGATTGCTGATGTTTTGACACCCCCTTTTTGCATGTCCATGTTGTTTAGTGCCATTGAGTCAGTTCCAACTCACAGTGACCCTCTTTAGGGTTTCTGAGGAATGGCTGGTGGATTAGAACTACCTACCCTGCAGTTCAAACCAACCTTGTGGTCCAGTGCTTATCCTACAGTACCACACAAGGACCCTGCATGCATTCAGCAGTTCCCAAAAAACAGTTTCTCACCCTCAGCATAATGGACATTGTGATCTTGGAGGCTTGGCCTTTACCCACTAGATACCAGTAACTACCGCTTCCCCAGTTCTAACAGCCAAAAAAGTCTCCAGATGTTTCTACCTGGGATACAGTTATCCCCAGTGAGAATCTCCACTACAGGTCAAGTCCCGTTCTGCTGTTGAGGGCCTGTCCCCTCCACTGCCAGTTCCCACCCAACCTGCCAGCTAGACCTTGCCCAGCTCCCTACTGCTAGTCCCTTCCTTACCTCCTCCACAATCCCACCTGAGTGTCCTCGTGGTTCACACCTTCGTGAACAAACCCAGATTTGACCCCATATAGGTCTAGGAGAGCCCAGACTGAGCCGCAGATACCACCCCTGAGAAGGAACTGGAAGAAGTTGGCATCTGGGGGCCCAAGAATCGTCTGGTACCACTTTTGAAGGATGGGACTGAACAGAAAACTCCTACCTTGGTTGTGGGTGTGTCACTTGGTTCAGCCACTTAGGAAAACGTCATTGTCTACTAAAGCCAAACACCTTTGACCCAGCTCTCCCTTCCTGGGTATACAAGAGACTGGATCACATGTGCCCACCAAAAGTCACGAATAAGGATCAGAGCAGCCGTCTATGTAATAGCAGAAAGTGGCACAACCAAAACGTCCACCCAGAGAATC